CGGCCATCTTGTCCAGAGACACTGGGTCAGCCATCTTGTCCAGAGACACTGGGTCGGCCATCTTGTCCGGAGACACTGGGTCGGCCATCTTGTCCGGAGACACTGGGTCGGCCATCTTGTCCGGAGACACTGGCTTGGAGGCGGTGACGTGAACAGTCTCTAAATTGGCAGACGTAACATGAACAGTCTCTGAATTGGCCATCTTGTCTTTAGACATTGGCTCAGAGGCGGCCATCTTGTCTTTAGACACTGGCTCGGAGGCTGACATCTTTTCCTTAGACACTGGCTCTGAGGCAGCCATCTTGTCCTTAGACACTGGCTCTGAGACAGCCATCTTGTCCTTAGACACTGGCTCTGAGACAGCCATCTTGTCCTTAGACACTGGCTCGAAGGCGGTGACATGAACAGAATCTGGATCAGCAGGAGTGATTTGAACAGTCTCTGAATCGGCCATCTTGTCCGTAGACACTGGCTCGGAGGCGGCCATCTTGTCTGTAGACACTGGCTCAGAGGAAGTGATGTGAACAATCTCTGAAACGGCCAACTTCCCTAGTGAAAAAAAAGTATGCTAAGTATACTTGCAGCCAGACTAATTGTCAGTATACTTCAAGTGTGTTTATAATTAGTTAACTTGAAGTGTGCTATTTTGGATACATTTTTTTTGTACTAAGTGTATTTAAGTTATAATTAAATTATATTAAAGTATAACTTTAAGTGTATTTAGTGTACTTTTTGATGCTAAATTGAGACAATTTCAAGTATACTTAGTACACTTTAAGTACATGCATATTTTCATGCTTGAGTAGTGATATTAAAGTGTACTTTTTGTATTACAAGTACATTACAAATTAATTAAGAGTGTATTCCAAACAAACTAGAAATATACCATAGATATATTTTTTTGAGTAAAAATATACTTTCTTCCCCAAAGCTATAGTACTTTTTGTATTACAAGTACATTACAAATTAATTAAGAGTGTCTTCCAAACAAACTAGAAATATACCATAAATATATATATATTTTTAGTAAAAATATACTTTCTTCCCCAAAGCTATAGTACTTTTTGTATTACAAGTACATTACAAATTAATTAAGAGTGTCTTCCAAACAAACTAGAAATATACCATAAATATATATATATTTTTAGTAAAAATATACTTTCTTCCCCAAAGCTATAGTACTTTTTGTAGTACAAGTACATTAGAAATTAATTAAGAGTACAAACAAACAAGAAATATACCATAAATATATTGTTTTTGACTAAAAATATACTTTCTTCCCTAAAGCTGAATGCACTTGTCAGGGTCATTACAATAAATAACAATACCACAGATACACATAATGAATTTAAACTGTGTTTATTAAAGCCTCACATGGTTAGCATTGAAAAACAGAACAGAATGCACCATGTTAAAAAAAATAAAGCAGAAAAAAAATAACAAAAAATTAAACACAGCAAGCAAACTTCAATTTTTCTTGCTAAATTGCTCATTGTTGCACTTGCGCCTTATGGTCGCTCGCACTTCAGATGGAGTTGTGCCCGGAAACTCAAGAAGAACAGTGTCTGTTAACAAAGTAAAATAGGGAAGGTCAGAGGGCATGTTCATACAACTTTTACTTTCCACTACATCAGACAGTAAACATAATGTATTACACCCAAAATACTTAATAAAAGTACAAGAATGTGGGTAACCAAACAGGTGATGTACCCCAGTGATTTCCATAGTAAATTTTTCCCTATGGAAGTCAATGGGGACCAGCGACTGTCTGGTTACCCACATTCTTCAAAATATCTTCTTTTTTGTTCAGCACAAGAAATACATTAATACAGGTTTGGAACAACATTAGAGTGAATAAATAATGACAGAATTTTATTTTGGGGTCAACTATCCCTTTAAGAACAAGCGGCTGCATTTATTATTAGGGCTACTGTTACTTTAAGACCTGTACGCGACACGTCTAATATACAAGGAGCATTTTCTCGGTTTGCGACATAACCAAATGTTCTTATGTAAACCTTGTGTGTATTTGAGAGCATTAGCTAAATAATACTCGAAAGATAACTTAGTCCAGCAACCAGGCGCTGTTAGACAAGCTTTTAGTGCATGTGCACGTCGGGTGTTCGCGCTCAGAACAGCGCATCAGCAGTGAATGGCAAGTTTAACCGGCAAGGCTTTAAAGCACATGCAAAATTTAACTTTTGTGAACTCGCTGAACTGATGTAGCCGTTCCTCTGCGTTAATATTGCGAGTATTTGTCGCGTTGTACACTAATGCTGTTGAGACGGAGGTGTCAGGATTGCAACTGACAGAATATAGCTGCTACATATTTCTACAAAAGCAGTCAGCAGCTTGCTTGGAGCAATGGATCATAGCGCAAATTTGAAATATATCGATATATCGCCTGGAACATTTATTGATCGGTGAAAAATGCATCACCATGCACCGTTCATTTCGGATGCTGTTTGGTGAGAGAGACGTGTTGGAGGAGGCTATGCTGTCTCTAATGGATGTCCGAGTTGAGACGCGAGCGCCCCATCAGTAGCAGGGTATTTTACGAATAGGACTAGGCTGGGCTAACTTGTTATGCTTTTCTCAGACTGTTTAGATTAACAGCGTACTGGCAGTCTATGGGCAAGGGTGCATTTAGGAAGGAGAATCCAATCCTTTACAGTGAACTATACATCAGGGATCTTTTCCCCTCAGCCGAATATCAAGGATTCGAGTAACGTTAACGTGATGCGTTGAACTAACTTGTAACTTGTGTAAATAAAACATTTAATGCAGACATTGTCAGACTTTTCATGTACTCATTGACGAAAGTACACATCTCTAGATAGTGTGTTGCTAAAAAATCTGTTTCCTCAGCCATGTCAGCGCGCCTCAGACTGTTTACAGGCTACGGCTGTTCTGCTGGTGTGGGTAGGCAGCGGAGTGGCTTACCATGCCAGTGACATAGCTGAATGTTGAAATCCAACATGGCGGCGCCCGTGTAACAAAAACAACACTTTCACAGGGTGGCTACAGGTATAACCAATTTAAATGTAAGACCTTTTAAGACTTTTTAATACCACTTCTAAATTAAATTTAAGACCAAACTTACGATGGAAATATAAATTAAAACTGAAAATACACGGTAATATTTCCAAGTAAACACACTGTCTGTTCAAAAATATGGTGAAATGACAATAACCAATTGTCAATTGCGTACTTGCGGTCGCCTGTGGTGGAGTACAGTGGAGTGAAAAGAAATATAGAAGGCATTTTTATAAATGTCTTAAGCCTTGTATGTTTTAAATAATAAAGTATATTAATAAAGGCTTAGATTTAATTTACTAAAGGCATTTAACCAGTTTATTTATAGTGTACTGATAATAGTTTCATATAATTCGATTGTTAATTAAACAAATAAAAATATTTTAAAAAGACTGAGATGTTTGGTTATTGTACCTTTTAATTAATAAATTAAAATTAATTTGCTATATTTCAGATCAATATATTTATTTTCCTTAATTTTAATTAACCCTAACTTTATTTTCATCATAAGAATTATAAATAATTGATTTCTGTATAAAATAATACTACAACACTTAAAAATAAACAGATTAGTGACCTGTTTTGAGGACAAGAAATGAAAACCAATGCGGTATGATGAATGTCCAAAAGATAAAAGTCTGTAACGGCCACCTAGTGTTCAGTAGTAGTGAAATGACATGTATGACATGCCTTTAAGATGACTTCTTCTATGGCGTTCGTTATTGTATGAGTGATGTTATTATGTGAGCGTGCACGCTCAGTGAGAGTAAGAATTGTTTCCTGTCTGCCATTATTGATCAAATTGATTAATTTAATTGCCATCTGATGCCATCTGCCATCAGGAGCCATCTTAGGAAATAGTCTCGATAAGTCGATCCCCGAACGCCGTTTATACAGTTCAGAAGTTCGCTGAACTTCATAGAGTTCAGATCACTCAGCACGACGTTCGGGGATCGACTTATCGAGACTATTTTTTAAGATGGCTCCTGTCTGTATACACGAAGTGAACTGTCTTCGTAAAGTATCTTCTTATTAAATGGTCTGCGCACTTACAAAGTTCTCAATGCTTCGTTTTGTATGTATGGAGCCTTATTATGTTACTGCGTTAGTGTGGGGCTATTTTGAGCCTTGTTAGTGGTATAAACTAGCGATTTATTTTTACTTAGTCAATGCCCCCCCCCCGTTATACGCTAAACAGGTTTTAGAGATAAAACTCTTTACATTCGATTATCATGAAAACAAATCTCAGAGAACGATTGACTAGGTACCGATGTTTTATTAGACCAAAGGTTCATTGTTCGCCGGAGTTCTCCTTTAACATCCGCTCTTTCGACATGTATGTGAAGAGTGTGCTTAACTGAAAGAAAGAAACTATAAAAGGACTCGTGGAACTACCAGTTCGTTTGTATTGTCTTTTCTTTCCTATTCTTCATCTGGGCAGACCTCAAACTCTGACAGACAATACAACACACAGACAGGGGTTGGATAAATATGTTTTGCTTTTAAAACTGTGTTTTAATGCAAGTATAGACCTACACAAATGTAAGTAAACACTTTGCAGACTGAATGTTGTCCTGTATGAACAAAATGACGGATGTTTTTCATGTCTACACTTTTCGATCGCACCCGCGTGTCTCTAACACACAAACACACACACACAGGTTACGTTACCTTGTAGAAAATATTCGACCTGGCAGGCAGAACGATTGCCTTTGCCTGCATCTTTGCGGTGACATGACAAACATATTTAAGACCTATCCAATCTGAATTTAAGACAATTTAATACTTTTTAAGGCCTTATTTTTAGGAAAATTGATTTAAGACTTTTTAAAAAAATGTTAATGACCCGCGGCCACCCTGCTTTCAATGTACCATTTTATCCCTTTTAACAAATTCTGCCATTTTAAAAATTGTACCAATGATAATAAATAAAATACATCTGTTATATCACCTTTTCTCAAATGTCAGCTCAGTTCATCTTTAATTGTAACATACCATTTCAATGTCACTGATTTGATCATTTCTGGTAGCTCTATGTGACAGTAAAGGGGAAAAGTGTAAGTTAGTGTTGTTTGACAATAAGAACCTTATTTTGTGCATTTGTGGCACTTGATAGATGGATGAAATGTAAAAGCTGGCCAGCATTACCTAAATATTTGTAATAATGTTCAGTGCATGTCAATCACTCCAATGCAAACCTATTCAGGTTTGCATTGGAGTGATTGCAAACCTGAATAGGTATTCACCTACCACGAAGGGATGTCATGATTTCTTCATCCATTTGAGACAGCATTTTTGGCCTAGTGTTCGAATCTTTAGTCTGTAAATAGAAAATAAAATAAAAGCAGATTTAAACTTTTTAATAAAGTCACATATCACGTTAACATGTTAGTTAAAATAAATAAAAAATACAGGAAAGAAACATAAAAATAATTAATGATGCTCAAATTTAAAATACACTGTAAAACAGCTGTAGGCCTTAATGCTAAGGACTTTTGCTACTGCAGTGCTTGAGCCAATGCTTCAAATTCTTACTTGGCCTGGCAAAAATTCACTGGTCCCAGCCAAAAAAAAAAAATTATTTTCAAGTATTTCTCATCCATTAGTGTTAGAGCAGTCAAATCAACAATACTGCTAAATGTAAATTATCCCTGACTACCTAACCAATGGAGCACAAACACCATCAGGTGACAGAAGATGTATAAAAAAACCTTTGGAGAAAGTCGGCTTGCCCTTCTCTGGGTTGAGGTTAGACCAAAGTCTTCATCTGAGTCATTGGCCTGGAAAAAAAACAAAACAAAAAAACAAAACAATTATTATAAGAGATGTGTGAAAATCAAGAGAGAAACAATTTGTTTCCAGCACACCTTGCTTAGTACATAGAAAAAAAAAAAAATATGACTCACCATTTCAGGACTCCCTATGTTTGTAGCATCATCAGAACTGGTGTGATGATCTGGACGGAGTGGGCTCGCTATGTTTGTGGCCTCATCAGAACTGATATGATGATCGGAAGTGAATGCCAGGGGTCTGGCAGCCTTCTTAGTGTTTAAGTTTACCTGGACAATTTTTTTTAAAGAGCAGTCCTGTTTATAAACATTCAAACTATAAAAATGTAGCCAAAAACTCAATAAGACAGTATGCATACATTATGAAGACATTGTGGAACTTCATCCTCAGAGCTGGTGTTTTGATCTTGTGTGTCTACGGCTCTGCTCTGAGAAAGGGAATTCTTCAGTTTTTGTAACATCTTGTCTCTGGCTGCCTCTTTAATCTTGGTTTGCTTTTGCTGAAAAAAATGTAGGGGGTAATACATAAAAAAAATGGTTAAAATCATCACTATGTCACATTCATGCTAATATAATGAAATTTGATGCAAATTGTTTTTCTGAGTAGAAAATATTTTAGCAGCAGTCACAATGAATCTTTGTCTGGCCAAGGATTTATTTGATCATTTAATGTAATATCTGAGATTACTGCTTTACTGGAGATGGCAGAAAGACACAATTTATTTATAAGCTTTATGTGACTAGAACAGTGTAAATAAAAATACGGCATGTCTTTTATAAAACTCATAACTTCAATTTTTGGCTTTTTATGAAATTGTCTTCCAATTAAAAAAAAAATACTGTATTTTTTTTTTTTTAACTTGTATAAGTCTTCCTTGTGGACTGCCTTCAAGTGAGAGGTCTCTATCGACTATGAATGAAACACATATTTTTTATTGCTCCATAATGCGTACAATACCCAAATTGGAGTACAATAGAGAAAAACGAAGTTATCCTCAAGACAGGATTTTAAAAATGAGCATGATAATTCATCTGTGTTGTTGTTGTTTTTCAAAATGAGCATAGTTGTGATTGTGAGCTATCTGAGGTACAGACCGTAATGGACTCATATTTAATATTACATGCATGGAATCAATTTTACATTTAGCATATCTTCTGGAATATTAAGAAGTTACTATCACCATGACATAATAAAACTGTCAATATTACATAAAGACTTATCCATATCCACTCACCAGCCTGCCTTTTTTAGCCTCGTTTAGATTGTTGCTGGTGTCCAACATTTTCTTTTTGACACAAACGCCCCTGCTTTCATCCTGGTTCCATATGTCCTTTCCCAAAAGTAGTAAGTTTTTCTTCATGACAAGGTCTTTGAACGAATCTGATATAACAAGTGCAAAAACACTTTAGCCTAACGTACACCTCTTATCAAAAAAGCGACACAATAGCGCAATAAAACACATGAAAGTATAACTTAAGAAATAAATTAAAAAAAAATAACATACCTCCAAACAGCAGGACTTTTGCAGGCACCGTTTTCTCAGGTTCTTTACGTGAAGGCCACTTTATTTCCAGCCAATTCTCGTCTCCATCAAGGTCTGGTTTTGACGTAACTTGACTGTGCTGGTCTATATCTACAAGGATCGATGTGCTCTCCACTTTCAATGATTTATCGTATAAGTAATAAATGGCAAACTGGAACGGCATCGTGTATCAGTAACGTCTCAGGTTACGTCTGTAACCATAGTTCCCTGAGAAGGGAACGAGACGATGCGTCACTGTTACGCTTTTGGGAACGCCTCCAGCGTGACTGCGTCTGAAGCATCTATGTCAACTAGTCCAATAGGAAACATGACCGTCATGGGCGGATGACGTCATGACCAGGAAATGATAAAAGAGCACCCGGTGCAAACCGGCATTAGCTTCAGAAATTGCCGAAGCAAGCCGATACAGGGATGCAGGAAGTATGGCAGGGTGACGCATCGTCTCGTTCCCTTCTCAGGGAACTATGGTTACAGACGTAACCTGAGACGTTCCCTATCGAGGGAACTCGCGATGCGTCACTGTTACGCTTTTGGGAACGAGAATACCCAAATCGCCAGACTTTCAAATGCCTGAGTGTCAGCCTGTTGTCACACCACCCTAAGCATTATTAAGCACATGTGAACCTGGGGCAGCCTCCAGGTCCAGGCTATAAAACCTGACAAATGTGAGAGGAGAGGACCAACCCGCCGCATCACAAACATCTTGAAGAGAGGCTCCATATAAGAGAGCTTTAGAAGCCGCCATACTCCTAGTAGAATGGGCCCTGACCGCCAAAGGGCAAGGCAGGCCAGAAGACTCATAAGCCAGAGAAATAGCCTCAACTATCCACTTGCTAACTGTCTGCTTTGAAGCAGGAAGACCCCTCTTGGGAGATCCAAAGCAGACAAATAACTGATCAGATCTCCTAAAAGCAGAAGTCCGATGCACATAATTGTCCAGTGCTCTCACTGGGCATAAAAGGTTCAATCTTTCCTGGTCCGGAGAAGAAAACGGTGGAGGACAAAAAGCCTGTAGCACAATAGGCCTCGGAATCATGGTGGGCACCTTAGGCACATAGCCTTGTTTAGGGTATAAGAATGCCTTGACCATCCCTGGTGCAAATTCAAGGCATGCAGGGGAAACCGAAAGGGCCTGAAGGTCACCGACTCTCTTAAGGGATGAAATAGCTAACAGAAACACTGTTTTAAAAGTGAGAAATTTCTCTGAAACCGAATCCAGGGGCTCAAAGATAACCCCAGATAAGCCTTCAAGAACAGTAGCCAGATCCCAAGCCGGCACCCTAGTACGAGTTGCAGGTCTCAGCCTCAGTGTGCCACGGAGGAAACGTGTAATCAAGGGGTCTCGACCGAGGGAAGTACCCCCCACTAGGGCATGGAAAGCCGCAATGGCTGCCACGTAAACCTTGAGCGTGGAAGGACATAGACCTGACGAGAAACGCTCTTGTAGAAACTCGAGAACTGTGTTGACTGAACAATTAATCGGGTCCCACTGGCGTTGGCGACACCAGGAAGTAAACACTTTCCATTTAAGTGCGTAAAGTTTCCTCGTAGCCGGAGCTCTGGAGCTTAAAATGGTCTCAGCCACTTCCGCTGACAGACCACTACTCATGAGTTGGGCCCCCTCAGAGGCCACACCCATAGTTTCCAAATCTCTGGCTGGCGGTGAAATATCGTGCCCCCTGCCTGAGACAGAAGGTCTCTCCTGATGGGCAACTCCAGGGGAGGCCTGTCGAGAAGATGAATGAGGTCCGCAAACCAAATACGACTTGGCCAGCGTGGTGCTACTAGCAATAGACTTATCCCATCCTGGCGGATTCTCTCCAGAACTCCTGGGAGCAGAGCTACAGGGGGAAAGGCATACAGACGCAGCCTCGGCCATGCCTGAACCATAGCATCCAGCCCCAGGGGGGCTGGTTGAGTGAGGGAGAACCAAAGAGGACAGTGCGTCGTGTGCTGAGACGCAAACAGATCCACTTCCGCCTGGCCATACACCCTCCAGATCTGCTCCACCACCTCGGGGTGGAGCCTCCATTCCCCCGGCCTCAGCCTCTGCCTCGACAGTGTGTCTGCTCCTACATTCTGGGCCCCTGGAATGTATACTGCCCTCAGTGAGAGCAATTTCCCTAGGGACCACAGGAGGATCTGGTGCGCCAGTTTGCACAGTGGACGCGAACGCAGACCCCCCTGTCGATTTAAATAAGAGACCACTGATGTGTTGTCTGTCCGGACAAGCACATGATGGCCCCTCAGATCTGGGAGGAAATATCTCAAAGCCTTGAAGACAGCCATCATCTCCAGGCAATTTATGTGCCAGGAGAGATGATGACTCCTCCACAGACCCTGAGCTGAACGGCCTTCCATTACCGCTCCCCAGCCGGTGAGGGAAGCATCTGTCGAGATAGCCACTCGATGGCAAAGAGCTCCCAACACCGGACCCTGGGACAGGAACCAGTGTTTCCTCCATATAATCAAGGCTTGGAGACACCGCCGCGTGATCTTGATCATACGAAGTGGGTTCCCCCTCGGGGAGAACCCTCTGGTCCTGAGCCACCACTGCAGAGGTCTCATATACAACAGGCCAAAAGGTATCACGTTGGACGCTGCTGCCAAGAGACCTAACAGTCTCTCGAACTGTTTCACAGTGCGTGACTGGCCTAGCTTTAGCTCCTTTGTGGCGGAAAGGATAGCAGCTACACGAGCGGGCGACAGCGTGGCTCGCATCGTGACTGAATCCCATACCACACCAAGAAAAGTGGTTCTCTGTACTGGAGAAAGCACACTCTTCTTGGCGTTGAGCCTCAACCCCAATTTCTGCATATGTGCGAGAACGACGCCTCGGTGCCGAACCGCTAACTGTTCTGACTCTGCTAGAATCAGCCAGTCGTCTATGTAGTTCAGAATGCGTATGCCCTGCAGCCTGAGCGGGGCCAGAGCTGCATCTACGCACTTCGTGAACGTGCGGGGTGATAAAGCCAGACCGAATGGAAGTACCCGATATTGGTATTCTTTGCCCCCGAAAGAAAACCTCAGGAACCTCCTGTGCTGAGGGAGGATGGAGATATGGAAGTACGCATCTTTCAAATCTATCGTGACGAACCAGTCCTCGGATCTGATTTGAGTCACAATCTGCTTGAGTGTCAGCATCTTGAACTTGAGTTTCTGAACTGAACGATTCAATAGACGAAGATCTAAAATGGGACGCAACCCTCCATCCTTTTTTGGAACAATGAAATAGCGGCTGTAAAAACCCGATTCCCTGTCGGGTGGATACACCTGCTCTATAGCTTCTTTCGCTAATAAAGCCTTCACTTCTTGCTCCATCACCAGAGCCTGCTCGGGGCGTACCAACGTGGGCAGCACCCCGTTGAAACGTGGAGGACGAGAACCGAACTGGATTCTGTATCCTCCCTCTATCATCTGCAGGACCCAACGAGAAATATTTGGCAGATTCCTCCATTCTGTCAGAAATTCTACTAGGGGAACCAGCCTCTCGAGGCTGGCCTCTGATGTATTTAAAACACCCAGCCCGGGGGCCTGGAACATAACGGCAGAAACCAACCGGACTGACTGTTTTTGAACCCCCCTCAGAAGGTTCCCGTCCGACGCAACGTCGAGTCGACGTTGCGCCAGACGTTCTCTGGCGACCCCTGCGCCCCGAAGCACCAAGGGTGGCGGGGTGGGCAGAATTGTCCCCTGAGGACCCCGAAATGAACCGGCACCGTATACTGAGGTGTACACCGGTTCACTTCGGTTGGGGCAGTCCTCACTGGTCTGACACCCGTGGCGTCAGGACCTTTTCTTTTGCGCCGAAGCCTTCTTAGCCTGAAGAACGGTCCTCAGATCCGGCTTCGACTTCGAAGGCTTTGGCTGAGAGTGTTTCGTCTGCCTCCAGTGTTTTTGTGGAGGTGCACGAGACGCAACACTCTCTTTTTGTTGCGCACGATATGATGAGCTTGACGGCTGGGGCTGCTCACGCCCAGCAGCCCCAGGGGGTTGGACACGGCGAGGGAGAAATTTTTTAAATGCCTCTGACTGTTTTTTAGCTTCCTGAAATCTCTCGACGACCTCATCAACAGCGTCGCCGAAGAGACCATCAGGATTAACCGGGGCATCTAAAAGAAAGGAACGATCTCGGTCCTTTAAATCAGTCAAATTCAACCACAGATGTCTCTCAGTGGCCACCAGGGCTGCCATAGACCGCCCAATTGCTCTAGCGGTCTCCTTAGTAGCCCTGAGAGACAAATCTGTGGCCCGACGAAGTTCTCTAATTTCATCGGGTCCAACTCCCTCACTTTTATCCAAATCCCCCAGCAGCTCAGCCTGGTATGCCTGTAATATAGCCATAGAATGGAGGCATGCACCAGCCTGACCTGCTGCCGTATAAGCTTTGCCCACTAACGTAGATGTTGTTTTTAATGGTTTAGTGGGTAAAGCTGAGGCCTTCAGAGACGATACCGAACCGGGTGACAGATAGCTCGCGAGCGTCTGTTCAGCCCGGGGCATCGCCTCATAGCCGTACTCTTTCAGCCCCCTTATACCCGAATAAATATGAACTTGAGGGCTGAAAACACGTGCAGAGTACGGCTTATTCCATGTTCTTGATATCTCATTATGTAAATCGGGAAAGAATGGAAGGCCTCGTGGTGGAAGTGAAACACTAGATGAAAGAAAACGCTCGTCGAGTTTGCTTTTAGGACGCGCGTCCTCTCTTACAGCTGGCCAATCAATATGTAATTTTTCAACCGCTCTAGTAATCACTTCCACCAACTCATCATATGCGGGAGAAACAGATGGCGAGTCTTTTTCTCCCGTGTGTGTGCTTAAACTGTCGATGCTCAGTACATCTACCTCCTCGGAGCTAGAGCACTGAAGCATCGGGCTCTCTCCCCGGGCAGAAGGAACCGCAGCGCGGGCTTCTGACACCGGAGCGAGAGCACTGGATCGTTCAGAAAAGGAAGGCGATAAGGCCACAGGACCCGTCTCCAACCCCTCTGAAAGATCCTTTTGCGATCCCCAGGAATGCATTCTCCGCGCTGCCTCGGCAGACGCGGGTCCTGCACCCTGAGGATTGCGAGCCTGGCCGCTCTCATCAAACAGCGCCAGGCGGGAGCGAAGCATGCGGAGCGAGAGATTCTCGCAGTGTTGGCAGTCAGCCTCCTCGAAGGCTGACACCGCATGCTCCACTCCCAAACAAATGACACAAAGCTCGTGAGTATCCCCACCCGTTAAATAGCGCGGGCAGGGAGAAGCACAAAGCCTGAACATTTGTTTCGCCATAATTCCGTCTCCAATAATAATCACAGACAACAGTAAATAAGACAGACAGAGACACAGATCGCTTGCTGAGGCAATAGAAGCTAATGCCGGTTTGCACCGGGTGCTCTTTTATCATTTCCTGGTCATGACGTCATCCGCCCATGACGGTCATGTTTCCTATTGGACTAGTTGACATAGATGCTTCAGACGCAGTCACGCTGGAGGCGTTCCCAAAAGCGTAACAGTGACGCATCGCGAGTTCCCTCGATAGGGAACGTCTCCTTCTGTTGCAAATGCAAACGTCGCTTAGCGCGGGAGCGTCAATCGAAGCGAATACCATCTGCTGCTCTGATTGGCTGAAAGCAACACTAAGACACTTGATTGGTCAAATACCGTGGCGCCGATTTTCTTCAAAATCAAATGAATCCAGTAGTGAACACGCTGACATCATCATGGCATCAAAACGACAGTATAAGATAATTTTGAATTCTGATGGAACTCAACCAGATACACCAAGATCCTCAAAATACAGAAAACTTCAACTGAAAAAGGTAAACAAAAAACTTTTTTTCTTTTGCAGTATTATCACTCTACATTTTTTAAAATGTATTTATTTCTCCCCCCATGTCATTAACGTTATTGTTTATTGCACAAAAAACACATACATATATATTTTACATATATTATTTATATGTTATTATGCTTACTGATCTGATGTTGTTTAATAATATTTTTTTTATTATTAATTATTATTTAATTATTATCCATGTTGTGAAAGATATAATGGAATAAACTGATATACTATTATAATTTATGCAATATGTGGGCAAAATGTCTATAAATGGCCAGGCCCATTCAGTGCAGTGTATCTAAACTGTATCTAATCTGCATATTGATGTGTTCTTGGGGCAACAGTAATGACAAATGAAGTGTAATGATGGGAGTAATAATTTACAACTTTTTCTTAATAATATGTAATATTTCATATGAATATTGATATATAATCACTTTCCCTATTCACTTATTGTGTCCTCCCAAACTGTCTGGTAAATATGATTTACTTCCTGCATAAACTGCTATGACTAGATTTACTAGTTAGTTATCAAAGTTTTTTTCAAAGAAACTATTTTAATCAATAACATATGCATAAAACCAGACATTTGTCTAATTTGATACTATAAGGTTAAACTAATTGCCCTTTGATTAACCTCTAATTGGTCATACTACCACTTAAGACACGGTCTTAACATAACGGCTTTGTTTATCCAACTGGCCCCTCTTGTCCTTTACAGTGGCCCTGTTTTGTAACAGAAAGTCATTTGTTATATTTCTGCAAAAGTGTTTCATTTAATCTTTAAATTAATTCAGTAATTTTTAAAGAGTAAGGTGAAATTTTTGTCATGGTAAAAACTTCAAACATTTGCTATCTTTGACAGTACCCAAATGTGCTCTTTACAGTCAACCATTGTCCTGTAAAACTGTTACATGTGTGGTGTCAGAGAAATTCACTAAAATATAGTGTCTACTACAGTGGACAAAAGTCTGTTCCTGGGTCTCAGGAGGACATTTTTATTATTATTTTTATTATTATTTTTTTTTTTACTTTTGTGTACAAAATACACTTTTGCTCAAACAAAAGATGAATGGGTTGAAAATGTTTACTCTAGCTCACTGTACTTCAGAAATGTTAAACAGGAGACATCACAAGTACTGAACTATTAGATAGCAGTTAAATTAAGTTGTTTAATTTTGTTTGTACTGTATCCACAGAAACAGACGAAATTGTTATACAAGAGATTTCTTCATACATCTCCAAATTCACAAACAACTACTTACAGAAGAAAAGTTTACAAAAAGGTACGTAATTGTGAAAAACAATGTTATGTATAACGTAAAAAAATTGCGATAAAAAAAAAAGTTCAACCAGACGTTTATGTTTGGATGGGCCTCACAGAACTTCAGTTCCCCAGACTGTCAGTGGGCTGTTTATTTATTGATATTTTGATTTAATTACATACTGAATGTAATTAAAAACAAAACAAAACAGCAGTATTTCAATACAGACTGACTGGATTGAAATACTGCTGTTTTGTTTTGCATTTGTTTTGTGAAGTTGCATTTACCTTTTGTGTTCATTTGTTTCAGAATCCTCTCTCAAATACTGCTGAAGATAAGAACGAAATTGAAAGCACAAAAGAAAGAGAACAAGAGGAGAAACAGATAGATTATGTAAATACGATTGAGGAAGGAGAGGAAGATGATGAAAATGGACAAGAGGATCGAGTGGAAGATAATGGAGATGGACAAGAGGACAGAGAGAAAGATGATGGAGATGGACAAGAGGATCGAGTGGAAGATAATGGAGATGGACAAGAGGACAGAGAGGAAGATGATGGAGATGGAAAAGAGGACAGAGAGGAAGATGATGGAGATGGACAAGAGGACAGAGAGGAAGATGATGGAGATGGACTAGAGGACAGAGAGGAAGATGATGAAAATGGACAAGAGTATCGAGAGGAAGATGATGGAGATGGACAAGAGGACAGAGAGGAAGATGATGAAGATGGACAAGAGGACAGAGAGGAAGATGATGGAAGTGGAAATGAGGAAGAAGAGGGAAATGAGAAAAAGGATGGTGAAAGTGAAGAAGATGGAAGTGAACAAGAGGAGACAGAGGAAAAGGATGGAAGTAGACAAGCACAGAGATCAGGAAAAGAGAGGAGCCAAGGAAATGATCATTCAAACCATAGGAAGGTGCGTTGCTATCTATACACAGGGTGTTCATTTATGTTCACTGTGTAAGCCACCTCTCTTAAATGTTCAACACTGTTAGTGATATTTCTGCTTGTGTTTTATATTTTCTTGTTGTAGTTAATTTGATCAGACTTGTCTTTTTTCACAGAAACAACATGAAGATGATCCTGTATACCCAGGTGCTCCTCTCACAAAGGGACAGAGTCTGCTCTTACTCATGTCGTATGTACTGCGCCACAATTTGACAGAAGTAGCTCTTCAGGATCTCCTTACTATGTTCAATGAACATTTCCCTGGCTTGGTGCCAGCAACTTCATATCTTTTCCATAAAGCATATGGACAATTTGGCCAGTATGTGCCACATTTTTATTGTATCAACTGTGAAAGCTACTTGGGAGCTACTGAGACAGCACCACAAAACTGTTCTTCTTGTGAAGCTAAATTTGATGCAGAGAAAAACCTAAGGGCTGGATCTTACTTTCTAGTACTTAGTCTATCAGCCCAAATAAAAGACATTTTGGAAAAACCAGAGATTTGTTTGAATAAAACGGAATCAATTCCAGGCATTGTTTCCGATATTCAGTGTGGGGAAGAATATCAAAAGATCAAGCAGAGTGGACAAATGGGGCCTGATGACATATCAATCTTGTGGAATTGTGATGGAATTCCTGTTTTTAAAAGTAATAATGAACAGATATGGCCAATACAGTGTCAAATTATTGAGCTGTCACCAAGTGATCGTGAACAAAACATATGCGTACCATGCTTATGGGTTGGTAACAGCAAGCCAAATATGATGACATTTTTAACTGCTTTTGTGTCACAGCTCAAGGAACTACAACAGATTGGAATCACATGGAGGGACTCTGAAAACATAGAGCATACAAGCAAGGTTCATTCACTCCTCTGCTCTTCTGATTCAATTGCCCGGCCCCTTCTGAGAAACACAAAGCAGTTCAATGGAAAATATGGGTGTGACTTTTGCCTCCACTATGGTGGTGGCCCATATATTTGGGAAACACCTGAACCACCTTTAAGGACAGAGACAGATCATTTTCGGCATGCTATGCTGGCAACACCCGCTCAACCCGTAATGGGTGTAAAAGGACCATCACCTTTGATGGAACTTGAAAGCTTTAACATGATCACAGGCTTCGTTCCAGAGTACCAGCACAGTGTCTGCCTTGGAGTAACTAAACAGATAGCATCTCTGTGGCTGGACAGTAAACACCATAAGGAAGATTGGTACTTGGGCTCAAAGGTCAATGACATAGACCAGGGGCTCAAGGCCATTAACCCACCTTTGGAAGTCACAAGGGCCCCAAGATCATTGAAAGACCGAAAATTCTGGAAAGCATCTGAATGGAGGTCTTTTTTGTTGTTTTATGCTTTGCCTGTTTTGAGTGGTATTTTGAAAAAGAAATACTGGAATCATCTTTTTTTATTAGTTTTTTCTATGCACACTCTTCTTCATGATGCCATCAAAGCAAACCATGTGGATATGGCAGAACGAGCTCTTCGAAAGTTTGTGCGTAACTTTGAGAAACTTTATGGTGCTAAAAATGTTTCTTTCAATGTGCATTTATTAATGCACTTAGCAACAAGTGTGCGAAACTGGGGGCCATTGTGGGCAACATCCACATTTCCGTTTGAATCTTTTAATGGAACATTGCTGAAGTTTTTCAACGGAACAACGCATGTGCTAGATCAAATAGTGAAGAGATTCCTCAGGTGGAGGGCACTCTCAGCAAAAGCAGGGACTACAATGGCAAATGCTAATGAAAACATAAGAACATTTTTTGACAAACTCCAAAAGAGATCTGCCTTAAGACAGAAGTCAAAGAAGTTTCAAGATAATATCAGAGGTTTTGGTTGCCCGAAGAAAAGTACCACATCTGTCCTGCAGAGGATGGCTATTGAAGACTTTACTGGTGACACTGTTAATTCGGGTTTATTTTATGACCGTTTCACTTGTAGCGGAGTTCTTTATCATTCCTGCAGGAGCACAACTCTTAAAAAGAGAAACAATTCAGTTGTCCAGTTAAGTGACGGAACATTCTGTGAAATTATGACCCTGGTGGATTTTACGTGTGAGGACAGGGCATCTACTGCATCCACCAACAACAGATTTTGTGTTTTAGTTAAAGAGCTTGCCACTAGTGGAGGAAAGTTGTGTAGAGATGCTCAGCTAAATATATCCTCAACATTTATATATGAAGTGTCTCACACCAATAATGTGTTTGCTGTCCCTCCGCAATCACTCAAACGTAAATGTGTACTGATTAGGTCTAAGGACAAACTGTATGTCATTCCACTTCCAAACAATATTGAAAGAGACTAAAACTGACTCCTGGGGAACTACTTCTGCAGCTTTACTGATGTCAATGCCAATTGTTGTTGTTAAGCTTTATTTCTGCCTAAAATTAACAATGATATGTTAAGAGTTTTTGATCACTGATTATGATATAATGTATTAAAGCAGTAAAATTATTTTTTTGGCGATGCAATATAGACAGTGTTTACTGTACTTGGCTGTACTTGTGACATCACAATCCAGTAGCTGAACTTCCTGTCCAGTAGAACAAATTTTCTTGTGTTCATATGGTGTGATGTTGGTATAAAATTGGATTGATGTTTACGTTGGACCTCTCTGTGACTTTGTATACATTTATTAAAAATACTTAAATCACAATTAGCCTTTTGTGCAGAGCATGTACACTTTATTAAAAAATGTTTTAAATAGCCTTTCAACACATTTATCATGTGTTTTATTACTTTCTGAAGTAGCAAGTAGCCTAAGTGAATTGCAAACATGAAGAAATACACTTAAAAAATGCAATAATTTAACAAAGTAAAGCTTAATAATTTTGCTATGTTCTTACACAAAGTACTCCAAAAATGTATTGTAAGTAAGAGCAACATAAGTATGTTTTCTTTAAATGCACTAAAAATTCACTAAAAGTATGCTTGTGTTTACCATATTTCTTAAAAATATAATTAAGCATGTATTTATAACCAATGCACTTCTAGTGTACTTGTTAGAAATATATTAAAAGTATACTTGTGTTGAGCATATTTCTTAAAAATATAATTAAGCATGTATTTAAAACCAATGCACTTCTAGTGTACTTGTTAGAAATATATTAAAAGTATACTTGTGTTGAGCATATTTCTTAAAAGTGTAACAAAGCATATATTTGTAACCAATGTACTTATAGTGCACTTTTTAGAAATATGTTAAAAGTATGCTTGATTTTCAATATACTTTTAGAAAATATACTAAAGTACAATTATTTTTAAGTGTGTTAAAAGTTGTATTGTGAAAATAGGTAAAAAGCATGATACTAATATACTTTTAATATATTTAAAGATAGTATATATTTTTTTAGTATATTTGCAATGTACTGTTGAAAAAGGGAATATATTTCAAATACAATAAAGTATACTTTTTTTTCACTAGGGTTGTCCATAGACACTGGCTCGGCAGAAGTGACGTGAAGCGTCTCTGGCTCGGCAGAAGTGACGTGAAGCGTCTCTGGCTCGGCAGAAGTGACGTGAAGCGTCTCTGGCTCGGCAGAAGTGACGTGAAGCATCCCTGTCTCGGCAGAAGTGACGTGAAGCGTCTCTGTCTCGGCAGAAGTGACGTGAACAGGCTCAGACTCGGCAGGGCTGACATGGAACTCAGGCTGGGCTGTCTCGGCGGGACGAGACTCTGGCTGGGCTGTCTCGGCGGGACGAGACTCTGGCTGGGCTGTCTCAGCGGGACGAGACTCTGGCTGGGCTGTCTCAGCGGGACGAGACTCTGGCTGGGCTGTCTTGGCGGGACGAGACTCTGGTTTGACGGTCTCTGGCTGTACGGTCTCTGGCTGGAAGGTGAGCGCGGGCTCGGCAGGGCTGACGGTGAGCGCGGGCTCGGCAGGGCTGACGGTGAGCGCGGGCTCGGCATGAAGCTCTGGCATGACGTGAAGGTCTGGTTGAGTAGATACCACGGGTTCATGGAGCTCCTTCTCTACAACGCCCACAGTAAACAAGGAACCGCTTAGCAAAAGGGCCTGGTTAATATAGTCCTCTAATGTCCCGTGACGATTGTGTAAGGGCATGAGTGAACTGAGTGGTTCAGAGAGTCCTCCTCGGAAAAAAATCATTAAACACTCTGTGCTCATTGAGGCGAAATGGGCCAGTTCAATTAACTCAGAAACATAGTCCTCGACGGACCGATTCTCCTGACGGAGACGCAAGATCTGGACGTCTGGGCTTCTTGTTGGCATGGCTGCTGGATCTCGGGGTTGGCGAAGTCTTCTGTTATGAACTGCTCCGAGACTGGGAGATGTAGATCCAAATGCAGCTTTAATATAAGAATAGTCGTACAGGCAGGGTCGAGAATCAGCAGACAGAACAATGGAGAATACACAATGGGAATCCAAGAAGCAGGCAGAGGTCAGGGCAGGCAGCAGTAATCAAAATCCAAGAACAATCCAAAAGTCAAAAAACCAGAAAACAAACACAGAAAATGCTCAGAAATGCAGACAAACAGTACAACAAGACTTCGCAAACAGTGAATGTGAACACAAGGTATATGTAGACAGACTAACAGGATGAGACACAGGTGAATGCAATCAGTGAATGAGGTACAGGTGAATGTGATGAGTGATGATGAGTCCGGGCAGTGAGTTCTGGGAAATGTAGTTTGTGTGAAACATAGTCTTATCTGGAGTGCCCTCTGGTGGCTCAAGAGGGCACTCCAGCTGGTAACCGTTACAGAAAGCCTATTTTGGAGATTTGCAATTTATTTTTCTCAACTCCAAAATTCAGCACTGCATGGCAATGCTTAGAGGTTGGAATAATGGCAGGATGCACTATTGTAAGTAAGTAAGTAAGTAAGCAATGTAAGTAATCATTAGATCAAGATGGGTAGTAGGAGGAGAGCGCTTGGCTTTTGGGATGCGACTACCACTAATCAAAGCATACATGTATGTCATGACTACATCAATAGCCTGCACTAATCAGTTATTGGGGAAGTTAACCGATAATATTGAATGGGCACGAATGCAATTTAAGCCCTCTAAATCAAGGTGCATTTCGATAGTTTAAGGAAAGTTTGTAGATAAAACATTCTTCATTAATGGTAAGGCAATACAAACAGTTTCTGAGAAGCCAGTGAAGAGTCTTGAGAGATGGTACGATGGGGATCTAAAGGACACAGTTTGAGTGGGAGAAGTTAGATAACAAGCAGTGAAAGGGTTGAAGAGCATAAACAGCTGTGCTCTACCAGGCAAACTAAAGCTCTGGTGCTTTCAGTTTGGTCTACTGCCAAGGTTGCTGTGGCCACTGACGGTGTACAAGGTTTCTTTGACAACAGTTGATAAGTTGGAAGTTCATACATCAGGAAATGGTTGAAAGTTCGACAGTGCCTCAACAGAGTTTGACTTTATAGTAAAGGAATATTACAGCTGCCAGAGTTTAAGTGTGCCAAGGTCAGGCTGGAAATGACCTTAGTAGAGTCACAAGACAAATGTATAAGGGGGGCAGCCCCTGTGTTAAAAACTGGTAGAAAGTGGTCAGCAAATAAATCTGTAGTAGAGGCAAAGGCTACTTCTCAATCTAGACGGATGTGGTGCTGGTCCACTAGGGAGACCACACTGTAGTTGCAGCCCTCGTGTGTGCTGACGCGCCAAGTATACTGCAGCCGTTAACGCCGAACAGAAGAGGAGTCACTCCACCATATGGAAAGAAGCGTAAATGGACGGAGTTTACTGTATAGTTTACCGTAAAGCTACGTCTTAGTTTTGCTTATATTGCCGAAAGCCTAGAACAAATCAGCATGAAGTTTTAACATCTATTCTCATGTAATGGAAATCAGTCAAGTATAC